GGAGAGAGTATCGCGCAAGTCCCTAGATTGAGGGATATAGGGATACAGGAGGTAACGAAGAGGAGAACAGAAGTGGGGAGCCTCTACCGACTACAGGCCTCCTTATATACTATGGGGTACCGACCGTATTAGGAAGGGAAAGGTGACCGACCAAAGTGGGGAGGTATGAGGAGACTGTAAAGGAACGCGTCTGGTCGAGGCTGGGCCCAGTATAGTACAAGACCTAGGTCAGGGTCCTGTGATATAACCGAAAGGGGATAGAGGCGGGACACCACCATGACCTGAATGGTGTCGCACTCAACTCCAGCTACTGTCAGTTTGGAGAGTCCAACAATGAAGTCTAGTCATAACACGCATCAGACCGTCTAGGATCTCATTGGGTTGCAGAGGGCCGTAGGGTTTCGTACATGATGTCTTTCCTCAATGGGAAGTGTTGCAAGTCCGTACAAAGTCCTTCACAAAGTGAGCTATGCTATACTAGTGATAGTTGCATGACAGCAGCTTGACTGTCTTCCAAACTCTGGAGTGTCCTGTGAGGGGGGAGTCGTGGTGAAGCCATACAAGCTTTGTCTGCAGCTCCTGGTCATTTGGAATATAGATCTTATTTTGATACTAGAGATCCTGCTCGATGTTCCAATTGACTAAGTCGTTCTGTAGTGCACATCTGGAAAAACGGTCTTTGTGAATTAACACTAACCATCACTATTCAGATAATCTCATATATATTAGCAAGTGTTGGCAGAAATAACATCTACATTAGTACTACTGTTTAGACACACTTTTTCAGTAGTGCAACTGTCACAGTGACTAGGCGCATAGACTTGGGTCAATGTTCGGCGACGACTCTGTGAGCGAGTGGCAAGGAGCCGGAAGAGAAAAAGAGAGAGGGAGAAGGATAAACATATCAGAAAACTCAATGAGGGCAGAGTGTGGGCCGGCACAAGGGCACAAGACCAACAAAAGCTAGTCTTTATGCAGATAGTGACAGACTAGTACCAATGGCCAAGTTATACATTAGCAATAGAGGGGAGATACAACACTATAGTCACTTGTTGAAGTCGGTGCTGTAGCGCCTGCGGTTTTAATCGCACCAAGTCCCGCATCGCGCCATACATAGTTCGTGCTGTCCGCTATCTACGGTAATTTTCATATAGTCACAACTCTCGTTTACATAGAGATACCGCATTTCTTTCACCAGTAGTCTCCATTTCTGTAGATCTGACTGCACTCTAGAATAGTGTCTACCTTACGCACTTCTGGTCCGTTTGGCGCCATTCCAGCGCCACTTAGTGTATGGTTGTGTTAGCTAGTTCCCACGCGCTCTGTGCGCCGTCATCTGCGCCTGAGTCGACTCTGTGGTCCTTAAGACTTACAGAGCTCGACTTAGGTGTGTAGCACAGTTTCCTTGCAATAATAAGACTTACAGAGCTCGACTTAGGCCATTGTGATCGCTCTGAGGCCCACTGCGGCTAACATCACTCGCCTAGTCCCAATGACCAAAAGGTCCAGATGGGGACTAGGGAGCGCCTAAGGGTGTTCTTATATACTGAAGGGGCTGCTTAGTGTTACCGTTGGTACGCCCCACCCCCTATCTTTTCGTTATTGGACTACACCTTCTCGTCGCCCTCGTGCACACTCCACCCCTCTTCCTGTTCCCGGCGACCTATGCTTACCTTCCCATTCCCCCATCGTCCGCCTGTACACTACCATCCCCCATTCCGCCCCCTGATGACTACGTTCCTAGTTCTGGCCCTCTCCCTTAATATTTCCCCTTTCGCCTATATGACCGGACCCTGAGTCCGATCCTGACCTTTTCCCTTTTTGGTTACATTAATCGACCCTGACCTAGACTCAGGACCCTGCCCCGCCTCTATCCCCTTTCGGTTATATCACAGGACCCTGACCTAGGTTGTGTACTATACCGGACCCAGCCTCGACCAGACGTGTTCCTTTACAATCTCCTCATACCTCCCCACTTTGGTCGGTTCCCTTCCCCTTCCTAATACAGTCGATACCCTATAGTATATAAGGAGGCCTGTAGTCGGTAGAGGCTCCCCACTTCTGTTCTCCTCTTTGTTACCTCCTGTATCCCTATATCCCTTAATCTAGGGACTTGTGCGATACTCTCTTCCCCCGTGTGCTACACCACGTACTTGGACAAGTCCGCGTGATAAGTCTGGATAGACTTGTGTTAGTACTTCAGCGTAACACTTAGCAACCAAAGATAAAGCGTGAGAGTGAGGCAGTGAAGATGACAAAGGAAGAACAAAAGGTGAGAAAGAAAAAGCAAGGGCATGAGGATCACAGAAACGGAGCATGTGGCTGTGGGAATATATCTACAGTGTCCAAACTGGGATGGGTCAAGAAAGGAAAGAGTCCAAAAATGGAAGGTGGGCATCAAAGGGGAGGAGATGGGTGGCAAAAAGGGGCACCTGTCCAGTGTTCATGACAGCAACTAAGTAATAATTAGCATACTTTGTACTAGTTATAACTACATCTCACTATCACCTTTTCTATAGTGCCTTGTAGTGCCAATATGATACCACTATAGCACTACTACAAACATAGTCCTCTAATTTTCGCTATTTTACACTACTGTAGTACTATTTTGCGCTATTTTAGCACTACTCATCTAGGGGAGACTCAAATAAGATAACAATCCTTTATTTATAGCTTATAGTTCTTAGCTAAAGCATTACACACCCCTATAGCTGCAAAATCACCATGATAGCTGACTTATATTTTGAGGGCACAACTCAACACAGAACTTGTTATTATGCATAGGATTAGACTACTAGCACAGCATTCATATCATAAATCAGCCTAAAGAGCACACTCCATATTATATACAATGACTGCAAAAAATACTGCACCGGCGCTTAGGGCCGCCGAAATTGTCGTATAGCGGGCCACGCACAACAGCTCCTGGCTCGAAACTAGGGGTCATTTGTAGCAATGCATGTCATGTATCACTTATAGAATGCTTGGTAATAAACAAGGCAGAAATGCCCACTCTATTGGAACAACAGGGGGCAGACCGCCGTATAGTGGCATGTAAGCAGTGTGTAATGAATGACAAGAGTGGGCTAAAATTTGACAACGGTGCAGAGCTAAGCCTAGTAATGTGTATATAGTCCATGAGCATCCCTAAGGGCCTGAACGCGATGGGGAAGCGAGTCATAAAGCTTCTGTATGTACTCAGTATCAAGTCCATACCACTCCTCCTCCAAAGCGGCCCATAGCTCGTTGGTGTTGCGTGGGAGTGGGTTGCGACGGTGGACATGGTGATCTAGCTCGTCCCAGACATGCTCAATGATGTTCATATCAGGGGAGGATGAAGGCCAGGGGAGTAAAGTGATGTTATGGTCCTCAAACCAACGTGCAGCAAGGCGGGAAGTGTGTTTGTGATTGTTGTCTTGCTGAAAGATGATGCGATGAGTGGGGATGCGGTGGTCATGAAGTGTACCCAGCAGCGACTCCTCGAGAATGGCACAGTACTTCTTTGCATCCATAATGCCATTGATGCAGTGAAGACGTCCGACTCCGTGCGACGTGATGCATCCCTAGACCATGACACTTCCTCCCCCATGCTTGATGGTCTTCTTCACGTTCCTGTCCAGGAAAGCCTCCCCATCCCTTCTCCGGCACCATTGCCTCCCTTCTGAGCCAAAAAGGTTGAACTTAGACTCATCTGAGAAGATAATCAAGCGCCAATGTTCAACATCCTATCCAGCAACTCCCTCCGCCCACAACTTCCGCTGCGCTACAGTGAAACGGCTCAGGTACAGCTTCTCCCGGCGCACCCGGCCATGCAAGCCAATCTCACAGAGACTGTGCTGAATGGTTCGGGGGCTGACTGCGGAGAAGAGCTGTTGCTGGAGGTCGGTTGCGTCTCAGGCAGCCCCCCGCGCTAAGGTGATCTCGGCATGACAGAGGTCGCGGGGAGAGAGTTTGCGAGGGCGGCCTGATTTTGAAGGGCGGTATTAGATGTCACCGGTCTGCTGGACAATCTTGTAGTTGCGCGAGGCCGTGGAGGGATCAAGTCCCAGAAGAGACCCAATCTCGCGGAAGGTCTTCGGCTTCCCAAAGCGAGGGTCACGGAGAGCAAGAATATGAGCACATTTGCTGGACGTGCAAACAGTCATGGCAGTAGGCTTGTAGAGTAAGCTCCAGAGAAGTGAGTATTAAAGGAATATAGTCGTAAAAGTTCGTGACAGTGTAGGTGTTGAGGGAGAGTTACGGCGGATGTGCTGAGCTGGCGGACGTCAAATAGACGCCCAATCGGATCGTGGGCCAGTTGAACATCAGTGAAATGCGTATTCACCAGTCTCCTTCCGACAACATATTTGTAACAAGTCTGGTTT